TACAGGTAAAGTTACCATATGACCCAAATAGGGTTGCAAACTAGAGTCATGGAAGTGAGTAAAAGTGGTAGAAAGGGTACCGGGGGAGCAGCAAGGGATATACTAATGAGGGGTATGGTGGGGGAAAAAATAGCAGGAACTAGGGCTCCCATCCAAGTCAGAGTTTTAAGCATGACAAAGAAAAGGTAAGGACTGCGACTCTAAAACATTTGTGTCCAAACTATGGTTGGGTCACTTCATGGGAAAAGACACTTCCAGTAAAACTTTAAGTAACAGACTTTTCTGGTTGAATCTAACCAACAACAGAAAGAAACTCTATCTCAATCATCACTTAACTGGAAGAGACAAATGCCAGAACAAAGACTTATCATTTGGAGACACTACTATTTAGTTATTCTTTATGGATTCAGGAGTCCCATCTGAGTTAGCAGTGACCTATAGAGGAGTTCAAGTTCCAATGACAGGTGGGGCAGGATAACAATAAATTACTGTTCCAATGCAGAGCTGAAAACCAGGAAAGCAAGCTGCCTAATACCAAATATTTATTATATTAAATGCATATATTAAAAAATATTGTCTTTGATAGAGCCAGTTCACGGGGGAAAAATGCAATGAGGTGCCCATACCATTTTCAGGAGGGAATGAGTACAACACACCTTCAATTCAGAGTGAGCTGGAAGTCACTTGTTGAAATAAGGACAGTGAATACCTGAAGTATGTTCTATGCCCAAATGGTCTCTGATTTTTTTTTTCTTTACTAATTTCTATAGGGGTATGAGGTAGAGGTGGGAATGTGGGAGGAATGGGGAGGCACAGTGAGGAAGATGGAGATACTCCTTACAAAACTTTCCCTTCCCTGTAGGAACTTTAACTGCTCTATAATAGTATCTATCCAAAGGGAACAAAGTACAAAAGCCACCTTGTTCCCAAAATAAGTAGTGGAAGTGCCAGAGAAATGATAAGAAAACAGCCTATGACTGACAAACTGCAATTCGGGCATGATATTGAAGATTCCCCTCCCACATCTTCTTGCTACCTCCCAGGCTTCCATAACCTAATAGGAACCTCCACTTCCCATCCTTGCTCCTGCTAATGAAGGAGATCTAGGTCCCACCATTACATGGAAGCCCACCATTGCTCTCCATCCAGGTGAAGCAGTCCTCAGGCCCAGGGCACCACAGCTCCTGCCTCAGAAAGCGTGTCCACCTTCAAAGGCTCCGATATTTCCTGATCAACCCTGGAACAATGTCATTTATTGGTTACTGGGGACAGCCTTTTACAGATCCTTGCAGGTAGAGACAGGTGCAAAGAAAAAGCAACTGTTAGTTCTATATTTTGTTCTGTCAACATGGATACTTCTTAACTTTACCAGTGGTGAGGGCTATAAATTTTCTAAAGAACAAAGAAAGTTTTTAAAGAACCCCACTGAAGGGTCCCACTCCTAGCAAAGGGAATATACTGGGTTAGAAATAAACCTCTATTCCTTTCACGTTATTTTTAATATGCAAAAATATATGCCGGGAGGGGTGGACAGAGGATACTTCAACAGCTAAGCGAATAAACAGATTATGGCACAGTCATACACTGGAATATTAGTGAGCTATAAAAAGGAATGAAGTACTGGTACATGCTACAGATGAACCTTGAAACTATTATGTTGAGGGAAGCCAGACATAAAAAGGTCACATATTGCAGGACATCATTTATATGAAATATTATGAGTAGGTGTCTCCATAAAGAGAGAAAGCAAATGGGTGATGGCCAAGGACTGGGGGAAGGGAGCGGGAACAGAGTAACTGCTTAATGGGTACCTGATTTCCTTTTGGGGTGATGAAAATGTTTTGGAACTAGATACTGGTGGTGGTTGCACAATGTTGTGAATGTACTGAAGGCCATTGGCTTGTTCACATTAAAATGGTTAATTTTGTTATATGCACTTCATCTTATTTTAAACATTACTTTTTTTAAATAGAAGAAACAGACAAAACAAGACGCATATGTGAAAACTCAGCTCAAACTCCTAGGGATAAAGATAAGTACTTTTGCTGGCACTCTGCTTCTGCTCACAACACAAAGTTCAAGTGCAACACTGTACAGACTCTGCCATCATGCCACACTTTGTGTGTGCATGTGCACGCCTTTCTGAAAAGACAGGGAAGGGAATGGAAAGTGAAGAAAATAGAATGGTAAAGCCCTGCCAAATGCAAGGGAAGGAGGGGTGATTCCCCCTATTGCACCCCACCCAACTTGGCACCAGGAGCAATGTGCTCCCATTAGGGTTTCGAAATGCCAGCAGAAGCTGGAATCAGCGCAAGCCATCTTCTCTGTCTGGATAAAAAGTAAGCCACCCAGCAAGAAAAGCTGGGGTGCTCCTCTCATTGCCCATATTAACATCAGCACCACCCTTTGCTCAAAAACCCTGAGGGGGCCTAGACCAGCCTCAGTGACTGGTTCTCCCAGGCCGGCCGGCCCAAAGCGAGAGCAAGCTGCCCACCTCCTGAGAGCTCCCGGCTACTTCATCACACCTGCCGTCCAAGGGCCCTGCCCCCAATACCACTGAAGGGGGTGGGGGGTGGGGGGGGGGCAAGATGCCCTCAGAACTTCCCCGCGCCCGCCCCCGCCCAGCCCGAAATAAACATCTCCTCAGCCCAGTTCAGTAAACCACGCACCTCGACCAGCACAGCCCCAGAGCCTGGGAACCTGCTCCACACGGGGACACGAATACACCCCAATGCCCCAACTCGACCCCTACCCAGGCCGGTCACCCCGGACCACCTGACCTGCCTGGCGCCTCAGAGGCCCCTCACTCGCTGGGCCCGTGCTTCTCCCTCCCTGATGCCGGAGCCGTCACAGGTGTCCCTCAGGGGCCCCCGACGGCCCCCAGACCCTGCCCGCGCCACGGGCGCCCCGCGGGGCCCTCAGCTCTCGGCAGCGACACCCCCACGGCCCTCGGGCAGGGAGCGACACGGCCGCAGCCCCTCCAGCCAGGCCTCGACGACCCCCAGGCCCCCAGCCGGGCCCGGGCCCCTGCCCCTTACCTGCGGGGGTTCGGCCCTGGCTGACAGGGGCCTGGGCAGCGCCTGGAGGAGCAGGAGCGCCAGGCCACCCAGGAGCCTTCTCCTCTCCATCCCCCTCCTGCTCCTGCTCCCCCGCCACGGCGCCGCCACCTCCCTCCTCCCTCTCCTCTTCCCTCTTCTTCCTTCTTCCCTTCTTTTCCTGTTTCACTCTCCCCTCCCGCTTCCGGCTCGGCTCCACCCCGCCCCAGAATAAGCGCCCGCCCAGGCCCTGGGGGTGGTTCTTCGGTTCCCGAGCTTCATTGGCCCCTGCCCTTCGCCCATTAACCAAGAAAGCTGTCCATCAAATCTAAGTTCCGCCTCCTCAGAAACCGTAATCCAGCCAATGAAAAGTAGAGGAAGCCGGGCCATCTTGAATGCTGCACAGCCGTGTGAATGCGACCACTCCGCCGAGAGTGGCGGAAGTAGCTCCAATGGGGGCGGGGCCACCTAGAACGTGTATTGACAGGCTGCCTCAGATGCAGCCATCTTGAGTGTGGCGGAAGTACTAAATCTACAGCTTGCTAAGAAGGCATATGGTGATTCTAAAAGGCTTTGGAGAAAGAAGTTATTGGGAGATAACCAAACATTTGAAATAAGTTGAATCCGTTTTAAGATTTTTCTTCCTGTAATTTTGATATATTCGCTGTTTTGTTTTGGCTAATGCCACCAGATGTTTTTTTCCTTTGGCATGGACTGATGGACTATTTTCCAATAATAGGACTGTCATACTGGGCATTCATGGAAAATGCTGCTGACTAACTATGGCATCTCCTACTCATAGTTCTTCTCCTCCCTGCTCAGCTACACCCTCCTTTCCATGGAACAGGGAACCTGGAACCTCCCCTTTTCCTGGGGACCACCTTGTTACAATATCTTGATAGCCCTCACCCCTCCCACCCCCACAATATGATCTTTGAAAACAGGATGCTGAGTTAAAGAAGCCAGACTCAGGACCTCCCTTGTGGTGTCAGGGGTTAAGACGCAGCACTATGAAGCTATCTGCAGCCACTGCAGCAGGAGTTCTAGCCCCGGACAGGAAGGTGACCCACATGGCGCAGCAGATCTCTCCTGTCTCTCCAGCTGCTCCCCTCAGCAGTGTATTTCAGTAGATCTGCATGTTTTGCTCCTCACTCTGTCTCTGGTGAATCCTCTCACCCCAAACACCTCTGGCCTGTACTCCAGTTCTTATATACATAAATAAATCTTAAAAAAAAAAAAAAAAGCCAGACTCAGAAGGCTGCACACTATGTGATTCCACTGATACGCAATGTCCAGAACAGGCACATCTATAGAGATTGAAGGTAGGATTAGGGGTGTGAGGCTAGAGAATAGAGAATAAGGGGAACTTGGAATGGCTACCTGGTCTCCTGGACCGGGTAGTCCCTCCCCTGGCCCAGTCTAATCTTTCCCTTCCCTTTCCATCATCCCTTCTCACCCCCTGCTCTCCTTCTGGGACATCCAAGTGAATTGGAAAGACCTACCTTGGGGGGTGGGGGGGGCATAACAAAAATGCTCTGAAATTAGTGGTGATAGCTACACAACTCTATGACTATTAACATCCAGTGAATTGTACATTCTAAAAGTATGACTTTATATGAATTTTAACTTTTTAAATAAAACTGCAGACAGTACCAAGTAGAAGACCCTCTCTTCAGACCAGTGATCCTTAAAGTGTGTCCCCAGACCCAAGTAATCAGCATCACCAGGAAATGACCTGAAATGTAAATTCTCAAGTTCCACCTAAGAACTACATCATTAGAAATGCTGGGGATATGACCCTTCAATTTGGGTGTTGACAATCCCTCTAGGTAATTCTGATGCAGGTGCAAATCACTGCTCCAGACTAAGGGAGGCATTATGTAAAGGGCCAGAAAGTAAATATTTTAGGCGTAGCATGCCACATAAATAGACTGTCACATACTTTTTATTTTTTACAATCCTTTATAAATATATAAAAACCATTCCTAGTTCCCAGGCACTATAAAACAGTAAGAGGCAAATTTGGACACCAGAGCCAGTGTTCACAAACTCCTGCTCAGGAGCAGCACATTGCCACTCAGGAAGATCTCTGCAGCTTTTCAGCAAAGACAAGTGGCCCTTTTCTCTGTAATAAGGGAAATGATCAGTGGTCTCCCAGTGTCAGTTTCCCCTTTATTGAGATACCCTCCTACATGCCAAGGCCAAGGTTAAGACCAGATCCTGCTTTCCAGTCAACCTTTATTAACTCACTGCAGACAATTCAGTGTGCTCAAAAAATTTATTCAGTTCACAGTGATCCTCTGAATTGTTGGAAAGTTCTACTAAACAAAAACTCATCCAGACATGGACCCAGGTAAACCACAACGGCTCCCCAGGGAAGCTTGAGCCATTGCCTGGAGCAGCCGAGTTGGGAAAGGGAGGTAGCAGTGATTTGCTGTATGTCCTTTAAGACTTTGGTCCTGGTTGATTTCCTCGTAGAGGTATCCAAAAAAAAAAATTCCTTTCCTATTCAGTACATGCCAGTCTGTCTTTGGTGTTTAACCCAAGGGGCTCAGGAAGGGAGGTGGCTAGGAAATTACCCCCATGAAAATAGTTAATATCTATCCACATCCTTTTTAGTCACAGTCAGTGGATTTTTCTTTCAAACACAAAGAAGTAAAATCAGACAGGATTTAGGGGAGGGGGAGAAAGTCAGTGTTAACAGAGAGGCTGGAAGTCCCAGGAAACCGCTGCCTGACAGTGACCTTATTTAGCACTAAGAACTCCTAAGTGACTGATAAAGTCAAAGTTAGCAGCACTCCCAAAGTGGCTTTTCTCCTGGGGGCAGCAGGGAGGAGAATGGGGAAGGGTGGCTGTGAACCCCAGGGTGACACTCCCCACTCTCTCTTCCTAGGTTTGCTAAGGCTGATCAGCTGAAAGATTGCACAGCTTGAGAAAAGATGAAGAGAAAGGGGAGAGGGAGCTTCTTTTTATCCCAGAGGCTCCTCCCCACTTAGACTGGAACTAGCATCTCAAAAGTTTTCTAATTTTCCAAAGAGTTTTCTTGAGTATTTATCCCACATGTCAGCAACCTATCCAAGAGGGAGAACAAGGCTGAGCAGGTAGCAGACTGAGGACTTGGTCTTTCCCCTCTTGTTCATTTTTATTCCCTGGAGTCCAACAAACCAGTGGCATCCTCCCACCTATCCAAATCCACCCTGGTTTTCAGGCCCAGTGGGCAAAGGAGTGAGGGCACAGCTAGACATGTGGCTAAGGAGGAGCTGGTGAATATGGCCACTTAGAGACCCTTGTTGAAGTAGACATAAGGCACAGGTTCTCCATACTTGGTCCTAATGGTGCCTTGGAGCTCTGGTTCCAGTGAGGAAACTGGAAATTTGCTGAAAAGAGAAAAGGGGGTGACAAGTATATACCTGGACAAGAAGCAAATTACCCTCAGATAAAGTCAACTCGAATGCCACCTCCAAGCAGCCCTTCCTGATTTTTCCATCAGAATTACTAGTGGCCTTTGTACACTACGATGTGTTACTTTTACCTCTACCAGACCAGTCTTCATTCTCCCTGGTGCTAAACTTCCATCTTCCCTGAAGATTACAATCATGGTGCTTGGAGATGTCTAGCAGGTAACTACCAAACAAAGAACCCTAAAGAAGGAAAATTAAGAACCTCCTCTGTATATACTGAAACTACCTGGTCTCCTGGAGCTAGTCCCTCCCCTGGCCCAGTCTAATCCTTCCCTTCCCTTTCCATCATCCCTTCTCACACCCTGCTCTCCTTCTGGGACATCCAAGTGAATTGGAAAGACCCACCTCCACCCTTTGGCAAACATGAGCCAAAATAAGTACCTATTCTCTTGTTCAATTCAAAGACCAGATCCAGCCAGGGGAGATGGAGCTAAATTCCCAAGCAACAGGATCAGAAAGTCTGGTTGTTCCCCCACCTCCTCTCCAAGGCAGCCCTTGCCCTACTGGGAGGAAGCAACTCATCCCTCTGCGTGGAGAGCTCAGGTATACCATCCATCCACAGCTATGAGCTCAGAGTTCAGGCTGGCGGGCCTTGTCCTCAAACACATGTGCCCTCCCGGCCCTCTGCCTCCATGGACAGCAGGCACGTCAGGGAGGGCAGGGACAGAGTGTCCAATAAACAGAGTGAGGAATGAACAGCTGATACCATGTCTGCGGAAAGAGCCCACATGCCACTGGCACCATGAAGATGAGGCTGGAAGGAAGGAGAAACCAGAGTTTAGGGGGCTTCTTATCACAGGCCCACCCACACCCCCTCCCTGAGGTCCCAAAGGATGAGGGAGATACCCATTCACCAGGCCTGCCTTCCGGCTGGTCCCAGAGAGCCCTCCCTTCAGTCTCCTCTTGGTCTCCCAGTGCTGGGACACCCAATATGGCACAGGATAAAGTCACCCCCAGTACCCCCACCCATCGTGAGATAGCCACTCTGTTTTCAAGCAGATGAAGCCAGTGGAAATACCAGGAGTGTGAGCAACAGCAGCCCTAAAGGCCCCAAGCACCTGCTGAGGTTGGGGAGAGCCAGGGAGAGGCAGGAAGCGACCCCAAAGCCCTGCCCCCTACTCACTGGACACCTAGTCTGTTAGATACCAGTAAAGAGCTGAGTTTCTAAGCCTTTCTGGGCAAATCATTTGGGGAACAGTTTAAAAGGCAAAGCTGATTCAGCAGATCTGGAGGAAGGTTTGCAAGTCTTTATATTTCCAACAAGTTCTCTGATGATGAGGGTCCAGGACCATGTCTGACAGATTCCAGGAATCTAACAGGCCAGAGTTGCTATGCCAGCTTTGCCACTTACTAGCTGTGCACTCTTAGGCAAGTTCCCTCTGAGCCAGCGGAGGTCCCTTGCAGGGTTCCTGCCTTCACAGGAGACCACACATGCCAAGTCCTGCTCATGGTAACTGCCCATTCAGGACTAAGTCACTTAGCAGAAGCTGCTACAGTGTGATGTCAGCCTGGGGCATGAGCGTGGTCCTATCTCAGCTCAGGTACCGCCAGCTACACCCCAGACGAGTTTCTTAATCCTGCTAAGCCCCAGATTCCTCATTTGTAAAAGGAGATCATGTCAGTACAGATACCTCTAGGGCTCAGAGAATTCAGTGAAATTGTAGCTGTGAAGGATTAGCACAGAGGGGACACCAAGAAAACATCCAGTGTCAGTTGCTGTTGTCACCCACGTGATATGGTCACCTGTGACACGTGCAGCCAACAGCAGGCACCTGAGAATGCCTTGTATGTTTCCTGACAGCCCCAGGTTGTCTCATCATTTTTGAGGTGTCATCATCTACAAAGGGGATTTACTTGTATGGACACAGAGTTGCCACAGGGCACTATGGGAGTCAGGGTGCACTGACTTGGCTGATGCCGTAGTGGGCTGGCATGTGCTGCCACCTGCATGTTAGTGGACACTTTTACCTTCTCCACACATGACCCTCTCTTTTTGGGGATATCTTTTTGGGGATGGGACTATCTCACCATCTTTGCCTCTTCTCTAAAACTGCTGCAGAAAATAAGTGAAATAAAATTAAGTAAATAAAACTGCCCCTGACCATGCGATCCTGGGCGAGGAGGGCACCCAAGCACATTGCTTCCCACACAGATGTGTGCACAATGCCTGGCCAGCCTGGCATCCCCCCAAAAGATGAGGCTAGAGCTCTGCAGAGGAACCAAGGATTCCTGAGGAGCTTGGGCACTCCGAAGTCAGGGAAAGGACCACATGCTCAGCAACATGGGTGACAGGAGAAGACACTTCGGGGGCGGCAGCCACCACAAACCCCAAACCAAGAAAACGCGATACTCACAAGCACCCGCACAGCATGACCTGCAACGGTCCATGCAGGACCTTGACTTTCTGCACAAGAACAAACGAAAGAGAGACACACATGGGGTTTCTATGCCTCACAGGAACCCCACATCCGCCCTGCCGCCAGCCACCCAGAGTGCACCAGTGGGGACTGACAGCCTTGCCCTGAATGTTGGGGGCGGGGAGCTTTCCTTGCACTCTGCAGACAGGACCAAGAAACAGACTATGGTGTGGGAAGCAGGTGGCCCGCAGGGTTTGGTATGGGTCCAACTTGAGTGGGATGAAGGGAGGCAGCAGAGGGAAGGACAGGAGGTCAGAAGCCTGGGGCACAGTTATGGCTGGCGACTCTGGGAAGACAAAGAGAACCCCACACACCTTCATGAAACGCAGTTTCTCCAGCTGTTCCATAACGATGGGCAACAAGACTGGAAGAGACCAGGGAGGAACTGAGTGGGCAGGGCTGGAAGGCTCTCCCCAAGCCCCCTTGCCAAAGTCAGATCAAGGACTGAGTGATTCTTCTTCCTTCCCCAGAAGTTTCAGAAAGTGCTTTTCATTGGGGAGAAGAATGGAGGATGGCGTTGGCATGACCACCTGACCTGTGACCCCCAAGTGCTGGCAGAAGGGTGCTTTCCAAACTTCTGAACCAGAAATCTCTAATCATAAGAGGACACATGCCACAGGCCCAAAGCACCCCTCCCCAACACAAAACTATCTCTGAAGGCTCATGCAAGTAAGTTCTAGACCCTCTCTGCAATCTGCGCCCCCTCCAGAGGCAGACGGGCTACAGTTTGTACCACTGTCTCCCCAGCACCCACACTGGGCCCAGCAATTGAAGGTAGTGATGAATATTTGTCCAATGCAAATAACCCCCCTCCCCAAACCTCTGATTAATGAATGTTCCAGGAAGGGGGGGGGGGATTCTCAATGACTTTCAGGGCTCTGCAAACATGGCAGTAGAAGCTGGGGCCCCACCTCCCCACCCAAAAGCGAAGTGTGACTGAGGTCTCCACTGTGTTTTCCAGGGTACCCCAGGATGGAAGGGTTTCCCCATCTTACTCATGCCAGGGGCTGCCATGGCAATCCGAGAAATAACCACTTGAGTGATGCCGACAATAGCAGCTCTCTAAGGACAGAAAAGAGTCAATTGTCAGGCATGACCTTATCCAGGATACAGGCTGTGTGCAGGTCAGTGTCACGGCCAGAGACTGAGTGACCTCACCTGACCCTGGTCCACCCAGCCAGAACTTTATGGTTCCCAGACCAGCAATGATGGCTAAAGGACAGGAGAGGCATGTTGCGGACAAAGAAATGTTGGGACAGTTGGGATGAGGTGGAGTCAGGGCTTAGACCAGTAAGGGCAGGACAGAGTATGAGCCAGAATTCCCTCTCCCACGCCAAGAGAGGCTCTGCTCACCCGGGAGTGACCGATCTCATTGTGATTCTTGTCCTTCACGCAGATGCCCTGGATGAGTTCCCTAAACAAAGACAGGAGAGGCTGTACTTGGGAAAGTGCCCAAAGCCTGCCAGTGATGATGTGACAAACCAGGGGGCCAAGACCAGGGCACCTGAGCTCTAGGAAGCCACCTCCTGCAACCTGGCCTTGATCTTCCTTCTGCACCCCAGTGAGTGGTAACTCCAAAGTGACAGTGGGCAGTTTGAGGGCAGCAGTTAAGAGAGCTGGGTCAAATCCTGAGGTTGAGGGTAAGGGTTTGCTCTTATACCTGCTAGACTCAGTTACCCTCCTCTGCAAAATGGGGATCATCCTGGCACCTGGTGAGGACTCAGCAGGCAAATGCCTGTAGGGTGCTTAGCCCAGCGCCACACACTGAAGAGCTGCTCTGGCTATAATGCTCAAGTCAGTTTTTGACAGCATTCAACCCAAGACCAGGTAGGTGGCTGGAACTCATTCATTTATTGGGAAGGAGCAACTGGATGGGAAAAGAAATGAGGAGAGGAGCAATGCATGTGCATGGCTACTCTGGGCGTGTGCTCCTTCTGCAAGGGCCACTGGGATCAATTTCCACTTGCCAGCACATTCCCAAGAAATTATAAATTGTTGACAATGGAGATGACAATGAAAGGGATGACAGCAGTGGCTGCCTGACAGCTCACACTTACATAGCATTTGTAACATGTTCTAGGCAATGTTTTAAGTGGACCATGTATATCACATCATTAAATTTCACAACAGAAGAACAGTTACACTTTCTCTAGTCAAGTACAAAGATTGCAAGGCACAAGGTTTCAACTTTGCAGCTGCTGAGCTTAGAGCTGGGTCCCTGGGAAACATTTATCTAGTCCTCTGGCTTCTTTCAAAGCAGCTGTTCTGTCTTTGGAAACCTCACTTTGCTACATTTCCCTCTGTGAAATACAGGGCTTCGGTGAAGGACAGTGTTTACTACTTAAAGAGCTGCAGTGGAAAACTCAAGATCTAGTATAAAACCCCACAGGTCCACCCTATCTGCCTCAGCCCGTAGCATCCAAAAATGACTCCCAAGCACTCATCATTTGACTATGATTAAACCTTAGTCACTGCCATTGCTGGAGCTGTCGCTGCTGGAGCAGCCAATTCCCAGGGACCCTTTGAAAGTGCCCAGCTCAGCCCCAAGAAGCCACTCATTGCCTTGGCTTCTTGCCCCGCCCTGCTAACCTTGTGGCTTATGAGGAGGAAAAGGGATCCTGTACTCACTGCTGTCGCATCATTGGTATGTTGACACAATTAGCTGCGGCCACAGCAGCAAAGGGCACCCAGCGGCCCACCAGGGGTGGAGCTCTCTGTGGGGAGAGGGAACAATTCTGTTCTTCTGGGTCATTGATGGTGGGAGCGGAGGGGACTTAAGGACATAAAACAAGACATCGGGTCTTACTGCCACAAATCTTGCCATCCAGTCTGGGAAGCCCAAACTCCCTCAAAGGCCTGAGGAAAAACCAACCTGGGGACAGAGCTGCTGTATTTCCCACTACTTGCTGGGTTCTCCATACCCAGCTCACCCAGGCAGGGGAAACGGAATGGGGAGCTTTCCACAGGACTTTGCTGCCCCCCAGTGGCCGTCATGGGTATAGCGGCCCCAGATCTTACCTTTGTCAACATGTTCATGCCCACAGCAGTGGCCACAGCGGTGGTGGTGGCTGTGACGTAGGAAAGGGCCATCTGCCTGGTGAGGGAGAGAGATGCTTGGCAGTTGGAAGCCCTATTGGCTGAGGGCAAGGACATGGTTTGATTGATAAAGTCTGGAAACAAGTTTCCATGAGCTCTGTCCCCAGCCTCATCTTGTGACCTCTGCCACTCACAATGCTTTCTTTTACTAATTTTTTTTCCAAAGATTTATTTATTTATGCATACAAGAGCTGGGGTACAGGCCAGGGATGCAAGGGGTGGGGGGGGGGTGAGAGGACTCACCAGAGGCAGAGTGGGGAAGAGAACAGGCAGACTGACTGAAACACACTGCTGAGGGGAGCAGCGGATGATACAGGAGAGGTCTGCTGAGCCATGTGGGTAGCTCCCTGGCCGGCCAGGGATCAAACTTGTGCTGCAGAGGCTATGGATAGCTTCACAGAGTGGTGCTTCACCCCTTGTGCCACCAGGGAGGCCTTCTTTTACTGATTTAAACATGCCCAGCTCTTTCCTGTCTTAGATTTTTTGCATGCTGCTGCTCCAGAGAACTCTTCTCTAGTTAAATCCTTATCCTTCAGAACAATGTACTGTTCAAGCTCTACAAAAAGGACTTCCCTGACTAGTCCGTGTAACAGACCACGGTTCTCTGGCTTCTCACCCTGTTTGTTTCATTAATGGCAGAGTGTATACCTCAGATTATTGTGCATGTTTTCATAAAGATCCTTAAACTCCACAAGACCACACCTGTCTTACTCTAATGGATCCCCAGCAGCTAGAACTATGCCTGACACATAATACACACTCAAGAAATATTTGTTGACTGAATCAAAGAACATTTGGAATTGTTCTAGGAAGAAGATATTCTCCTATTACTCAGCTTAAGAAAATACTTCCAAACCCAAAAAAGGGAGAGTTGATCACCTGCCCGGTGCAAGCCCCATGGAGGAAGAATAAACAGGATAAGAGAACCCTTTGGGGCCCAAGGGAACAGCCATCTGCTCCAGACCCATGTGCACTGCCCAGAGTTCAGGTCACCTACCTCTCCGATGTGGGGGAAGCGGCATTCCTGTTGGTATAGTTGACTAAGGCATTGAAGGACTGGTTCACCCACTGCCAGAAGATCACCGCCGGCATGGTCCTACCAGTGAGGGGACCCCAGAGAGCAAGATGGAAGGGATGGCCTGGTGGACACCAAACCACATCACCTGCTGTTCCCATGCTGTGGATGCAGCTGGGCTCCCACACAAGCAGGCCCTTCTGCCTGGAATATCTGGCCCTTCTCTGTTCAAGGCAAAATCCTGCTCTGTTGAGAGATCATTTCCTCCTGGGAACATTCCTGACCCTTCTCTGCCCTGCTCCCACAAGCCCATACTCTCCCCCAACCTACCACTCAGAAATTGGACTGTAACTGTTTACTTCTTGGTCTCTTCAGAAACACTGGGCAATCCTTGAGGGGAGGAACTAAAGTCTTTATATTCCCAACACCTGGTCCAAGGCCTGGCTCAATAGCCAGACAAATGTGTGAGGTGGGAGGAGAGGCAGGTGGAGGGAGGGAAGAGAGGGAGCGGGAGGAGTCGCATATCCATAGCTACACAAGTTTATTCTCTCCCCACTGGACCCTGAGAGTCTTCTTATTTTTCTTTTTTCACTTGGGAGGTACTTTGGGAAGCGGGAGTTGGGAGAGTTTATTTGATGAGAGTTCTAGAGAAGACAGCCCTCAGCACCAGTATGTCCTGGCTGTGTGAACTCAGACAAGTCACATAACCTCTAGGATTAAACGAGACAATACATATAAAGAATTTAGCACAGTGCCTGACCTCTGGAAAGGGGCCATAAAGATGGCTGTTGTGATTACCACATGGCTTCCTGCCTAGTGGAGCCACATGCCAGCCTGTGCTGTGGGCTCCCTGGCCTACCTGTAGAATTGGAGCATGAAGCCTGTGATGATCATGCCGCCCGGGACCTGGAAGGACATCCGCCCAATGACATTCATCTTCTCCCCGGTGTCAGGGTGGAAGGCCGAGTCATACAGCTTTTTAGCATATAGCAGCTGCTCCACTTGGGTGCCTGGGGGCACGACTCCCATCCTGCCCCCCAAGAATAGGCAGAGTTACCTCCTGGCCCCCCTGCCAGTCACCTTGTGCCTCCCTCCTTCCTAAGACCTCTGCTCCTCCCCAGCATTGGTTCCCACCTGCTCCCATCAACACTGGCAGTGTCTCCGGCCCCTGCCCCAATCACTCACCTGCTCTTCTCCACCATAATCTTGGCCCAGTCCAGCTCCTGCTCTGGTACCAGGACAGTGCGGGGGTCCGTGATATTGAAGAAGTGCTTCACCCGCCCAAGGAAAGTGCTCTGGTCCCAACGGGGGGCATCGATGTTAAAGCCAGACAGGTCAGCCTCCATCTTCCTCACACAAAACTGGGGACTTCAAAGACAGAGGGAAAATAAGGATTTCCCCAATACGAAAGCCTTCTCTGGATGTCCTGAGCACCTCCCACTGGTGTAGATCAACCAGCATCATCTGACTTGTTTGGGAAGGTCCCAGTGACAGGCCGCCAGACTGAGTGATCAGGCACCAACGCATGCATCCTGGTGGCCAAGCCCTGTGCTTGATCATGCAGTGGCAGGCTGGGGCAAAGGAAAACTCAGTACCTGTCCCTTGACGAACCTGACTGGGTAACAAGAGCCCACCTAGGAGATAATACATAATATTAGCAACAGCAAGCACAGGAGGCAAGAGAGCAGAGATGAGAGCATGACAATACAGGCGCCTTCCAGAAGAAGCAAACAGACTTATCTGAAAGATGCAGAAGGTAGGGGATCACAATAGGGTAGAAACAATCACTTATAAAGGTGGAAATAAACATAGCATGATTACTTTCGTCATTTGAGTGTATGTGTGAGTATGTGTGAGCATATGCACATGTGGTACATGCCTGCCCTGGGAGAGACCCCTGGCCACAGTTATAAGTAAGGCATCATGTCTTCCCTCAAGGAATTATAGAATGGGTGTGGGGGCAGGATGGGGGAGTGGTAACACAGCAGGGCAGCAGTGTAATCAGTACTGCTGACAGACACTGGAAGTAGTGGAGAGCCACTGAAGAGGCAGGCAGTTGGGAAAGAAAGTCCTGGAGGAGGGGCCATGCAGGTGCACCTACGGCTGGAGTACCTCAGGGGGGCCTAGCCCTCTTTTGAAAGGATTCCATCTGATTAAGTCAGGTCACCCAGGATAATTTCCCTTCAGATTAACTCAAATATAACCAATTAGGGACTGTGGTTACATTCACAAAACCCCTTTCCACCACAACTAAATTTAGGTTGGATTAGATAATTGGAAGAAGGTATGTTGTGCTACAAAGTGGCTGCTTCTCTCCCCCACCCCCACCTCCACCTCCACTTCTAACTAGAGACAAACTTACCAGAGACAGAACTTGTGTGTTTTCTTTGACACATAAAAGATACCTAGAATCTTTTGTTGACACATAAAAGAAACCTAGCCTGGGGTTTCTGACTTGGGCATTAAGGAACTAAGGCAGAGAACTTATAGAAAAAGAAGCTTTAAGGAGGAAAACATGAATTTGGTTTCCATACACTGAGTTTCAAGTGACATGGGACTTTCTTAAAACCAGTCTCTGTTCTTCGCAAATGCCATTCCCTGTCCAGAAGACTATTCCTTCCCCCTTTCACTAAATACCACCTACTCATCCTTTTTATTTTTCTCAGGAACAATTTTCATCTTTACTTCTATACTTTCTACTTGATTATTTGTTTTACAGTCATCTATATCCAGAAGCCCTTACAGAACTGACCAACCAAACTTGTATCTAGATATTTTGAAAAGGAAACATTACTGATGGGAGCCACGTGCCTAGTAAAAAAGAAATACTTCATATTAAGCAGTAAAGTGAAAGAATTCTACCCAAACTTCCTCTTAATATATACCCACGAGTGACTGCAGTTGCGAGGGACACTATAGCAAAGCCACCTCTGAATAAAGAGCAGTCTTAAAAGCATTGTTAGCATCTAATTTCAAACCTCCCACCCCATAAAAAAAAAAAAAGTAGCCTTCTCTCTAAAGATAGTCCTGAGTTCCTTTCAAGAAAGCACCTCCTCATCCTTCAGATCTCGGCTAGACTCTCCTTTCCTCAGGGAATACTTCAAAGGACACTTTTCCTCCTTCTCCGGCCACTAGACAAGCAGCTCTGCCCTAAGTCCTCTTAGCTCCCGTGTCTCTTCAGTGTTGTGCTCGGCTGCAGCACAACAGGGGGGGCTTTATCTTAGTGTCAACCTTCCCCATTAGGCTATAAGCTCCTTGCGGCCAGGGCTTGCGTCGTTTTGCTCACCACAGTGCACTAGTGCCTAGTTCAAGACTTCAAGTATTTGCTCAGCAAGAAGTCCAGTTTGCCAGAAACTAGATATTTAGCTCGAAAGAAAGCACAGAGGTCTGGGATAGCGGCAAACAGTGAGCCAGCAGCACAGCTGCCATTATGATGAAGCTTTATAATGAGAATACACAGAAAAATTAAAAATTAAAGGAAGCCCCCAAAGATGCAAAAGAACAACCAGAGAAATGGGAGAGGGAGTAGCCAATAAATGGGATCAAGGGAGAGTAGGGTCCTAGTTTTAGAACTCTTAGTAGAGTGAGAGACTTCCACAAGCCGCTAAGCTGGGGCTAAATAGTCTCCCTGCCAGAAGCCTGCACAGGAGAGGCCCCACACGGAGTTTCCACAGTAATCTTGCCTGACACCACCAGAAACCTCTGGAGGAGCCAGAAGCTAGACAGATGAGTCCACTGCCAGAACTCTGACTCCCACTCCACCACAGACCCAATAGAAAGCTCCCCAGGCTGGTTCAAAGACCAAGGGCACATCACCCGGAACCAGCCCACCTCAGGAGGCGAGGGAGAAAAAGGTCACTCGCACTGATTCTGCATGAAACAAATAGGGGTCAGCCTGGCCAGCAAAACGCACGCTGCCTCGGCTTACAGAGTCCTCCAGGAGCAACTGCTATGGCTTACCCTACACACACACCCCCCACACCCCCAGAGCCCTCCTTCTTCAATCCAACATTGGAAAGCCCTCTGACTTTCACAATGGAGGCACTTCTACCAAGACGGGGTAATCATTTGCTAATTATGCAAGAATCTTTGCTTTCATTACTAAGGTCAGATAGGAACTGCCCAGTCCCTCTCTTACATAAAATATCAGGCTAAAAGAAAATCTAACTTCTCTGTCTGGGACATTTTCCTCCATACCCATTGCCCCAAGAGGCATAGATCTATGACTCCTTCAAGGTAAATTCCAGCCCTTCTGCTTTATCTCCTATAGTATTCTTTGTCCTCTGCATGTTGGCTTTTACAAGTGTTACTTTTTTGTTATTTACAGTGATTTGTGTCAAGTAGGAGTCTCTTGACATACTGTAAGGTTCATACTGTAGCTTTTATGTGCTTTTTAAAAGTACTTACTGCCTGGGGCCTCCCTGGTTTCACAGGGGTTAAAGACACAGTGCTATCAAGCTATTACCAGCCACTGTGACATTAGTTCAATCCCTGGCCAGGGAGCTACCCACATGGTGCAGCAGACCTCTCCTGTCTCGCTCACTGCTCCCCTCATCAGTGTATATCAGTACATCTGCCTATTCTGCTCCCCACTCTGTCTCTAGTGAACCCACTCACCCCCTGCACCTCTGGCCGACACCCTAGCTCCTGCATGCATAAATAAATAAATCTTTTTTCTTTTTTTAAAGATTTATTTATTTATGCATACAAGAACTGGGGTATAGGCCAGAGGTGCGGGAGGGTGAGAGGATTCACCAGAGACAGAGCGGGGAGCATAACAGGCAGAAGGACCGAAAACACTGCTGAGGGGAATAGCGGGCAAGGCAGGAGAGGTCTGCCGTGCCATGTGGGTCTCTCCCTGACCAGCCGGGAATCAAACCAGCGCTGCAGAGGCTGCGGACAGCTTCACAGTGCTGTGCTCAACCCCCTGCACCACCAGGGAGGCCCTAAATAAAAAAATACTTACTGCCTGCTTGAAAAGCATTCCAACTCCTTGGGTTCTCTGAGCATCCTCTTTCAAGTCAAATTCAGAAAATGCCTTGGGGACAGAAGTAAGAGCAGGCTTCCTTGCACAAAGCTGCAAATATCCCACCTAACTTGAGGCCTATCTGGTTTCCAGATTTTCTTCCACAGTTATACATTCCCTCTTCCCACACCTGCCACATCAGGTATTTCCTAAAGCCACTCTCATATTCAGAGAGGTTCAGCTGCAGAACGAACATGGCTCCACTACTGGGAACAAGGGGTGAGATGGAAATCAAACAGGTGTTGACTGATACCTCTTTCCTCCTAGTATGGCTCCGACCTCCACTGAGCTAGCCTCGACAGAGTGTCATGGCACACATGGCTTTGCTCTAAGCGCTGTAGCACATACAGATGTGAACAACAAATAGATCCAGTCATGCTCATCTAGCTAGGGGCACCCAGATAGAGCCTCAATCCACAACGGTGGAAGGAACAAAAAGGAGACAACGGTCCACTACTCCTCAAAGAGCTCACTTGTCCCAGACAGAACTGATTTTCCCTAGCAAACAATATCAGAGAGGACAGGCTTCCAATCTTCTGGGGTATCCTCTGGCAAGAGAGGGGAAATACCCAAAATTTCCTTGTTTGCAACCCAGGTAGGGAGAAAAACAAAACATCATCACTGGTATTTGCATCAGAGGAAGATCAAGACAGCCAGACTCAGGAATAAAAACCACTGAGGCGGTAGGGCCTCCCTGGTGGTGCAAAGAGTGAAGTCTCAGGACTATCAAGCTATCACCAGCCACTGCAACAATGCACTGAGTTCAATCCCTTGCCAGGGAGCTACATGGTGCAGCAGACCTTTCCTGTCTCGCCTGCTGCTCCCCTCAGCAGTGTATTTCAGTAGATCCACCTGTTCTCTCCCCACTCTGTCTCTGGTGAATCCTCTCATCCCCAGCCCCCTGCACCTCTAGCTACACCCCAGCTCTTGTATGCTTAAATAATAATAAATCTTTAAAAAAGACCAAAAAAACACTGAGATGGTAAGGGTCGGAGTCAAAGCTGCCAAGAGCAAGTTGGAGAATGAGACTAATAATCAAAGAAGCAGCCCAGGCATCTGCCTATGTCGCTCAAGTGACTTCAAGGTCACCATGATATTAAACATCAGAGAAATCTGCCTTGCTTTTTTCACAAAACAAAAGGTTAGAGACAAGTCGATTACTGAGTACAGTCTCTGAATTCACCTTGCGCCTCCCTTAGTCAGGGCTCTAAACTCAGTTTTTCTACAATGATTTCAAGCAAGTATGCAGGTAGCAAATGTTTTAAAAACACTTTAATTGAATGTATAAGTAGGCAAGGACCATTCATAGGCCTAAGGAAATAGGCCTTCATTCCAAAACCCAAAAGCCCAAGTAAAACTATTAACAATAGCTAAGCCCTATAGAGCATGTCCTATGTCTAGGCAATGTTCTATGTCCTTGGCATGTAATAATTCATATAATCCTTACAAGAACTCAATGAGGTAGTTAAGAGGTACAGGCATCTGCAAACTTCCAGATGCATCATCTGCAACCATATTGCCAGCTCTTAAAAAGTTCTGAGTTTACATGGCAAATATAAACCCCTCTGTTCCTCTAACCTGGACAATACAGTCGTGCATGAAAGCACTTCCTGAACAGATGGACAGAAATGGATTCAAGTCCCAACTATCCGGCCCTTAACTAACATGCAGAGTTGTGAAATTAAATGACATCTTGTATGACAAGCATTTCATTTGCATCAGGGACTGGAAGATGTAATTTCCATAAGAAAAGATTTTGTTCCCTGCTGTGTCTTCAGAGTCTAGAACAGGACCTGGCACACATGAGGTAAATCTTCCTCCCCTCTTCGCGAAGAGTTAGCTGGAAGGTAGCACCCAGAATCCATCTCGCTCCTCCCTGACTGTTAGTGCAGCCAATCTTGGCCTCCTCGGAGCACATGAACCCGAGCTAATTCCAGCATTCCCCCCACCTCCGTCCCTCTCCCCCCCCAAAAAAACCGCCTTTCACTCCAGCTGTCAGCTCACCTCAGGGCTCAGGGACAATCCCCTGGGCGCTTTGCCCTCTGCCGCTTTGCAGTCTGCCACTACAGGGATTCCTCCATCCCTGACTCAGGGTGTGGGGATGGGCGCGCAACCCACAACGCCCGAGCCCCTCGCCTGGCACCCGAAGGCACTGGCGCCCAAAGGGAGAGGATCCTGGGCAGCGACTGACCGACCCCTCCTTGAGCCACATGGCTTCGACAGCTGAATGCCCAGCCAGAGCGCAGCCCGTGCGGGCAGGCAGGACACAGATCCATTCCCCGCCCGCCCGCCGGGGGCTCCTGCCGGGAGTGGCGGTAGCCGCGGCGGGCGGCTCCTCCCGAGGCCCCTCACCTGGTCCGGGAGGACTGCGCCGAGTCGCCGGCCCCAGGTGCGGTCCGCGTGGCAGGCCCGGCCAGCGCTCTCCGGGGCCTCAGCCCGGGAGCCGCCCCCAGGCCCCTCCCGGCCAATCCCCGGTCCTGCAGAGCTCGCCGGCCACGTGGGCGCGCTTCCCCGATCCCCGCGGGTCCCCCCAGCCCCGCCGCCCGGCTCCCCGCCGGCCGCCTGCGCAGAGGCGGCCCCTGGCGCGTGCGCACTTCGGCCCAGCGGCGCCGGCCCCGCCCCGTGTGCCGCCGCGCGCCCTCGCCGTGCGTGCGCGGACGTCGGGGGCGGCGCCGCGGCGGTTGCCCCTGGTAACGGGGGGAGGCTGGAGGAGGAGGAGGAGGAGGAGGAGAGGAGGAGGAGGAGGAGGGACTCGGCGGGAGGATGGTGAGTGTGGGGGCGCGGGCCCCTCTGCGGCCGGCCGGTCACCCTCCTCCGGCCCGCGGGCCAGGGCGGGGCTCTGCGCCTCCAGCCGCGGGGGGCTGGGGCGGCCTCCGCCTGCTGTCTGGGTCCCGGATTGGTTTCGGGGGTGGTGGGGAGCCCGAGGGTGGGCCCGGGAGGGAGACCCGGGCCTGGGAGGAAGGCGGGGCTTGCCGCGGGTCCGAGGCTCGGACGGGCTGACCGGGTGTGCGCCCGGCCCCGGGCAGAGCCGGGGCGCATCCCTGCTCGGGCTGGCGGGAGGGCAGATTCGACGAGCCGCGGGCAGCAGCCCCAGCTCGCAGGCTGGATGGTCCCAGGGAATCGGCCTCTCCGCGCCGCGGGAAAGTGGGGTCCGACGAGGGGGACCAGGCCAGAAGCAGCGAGAAGGGCTGGTGCTGCTGTCTTGAGTTCTTGCGGGCGGCCCCGGGGAGATCTGGCAGCCGAGCTCGCATCTTCCTTGCGACGTGCGGGCCTCTGGGGGGCGGGGGGTAAACCCCAGGACACAAAGAGGTGCCGCTTGGAAGGGATGCCCGGTGCATTTTACATGGCCTGGCTGTCTGCTTAGCGGGCGCGCTTCTCGAGTCCCGAGTTTTTTGTTTCTTGAGGGTTCTGCAAGGTCTGGTTGTTGGTGATGGCCGATTTTTTTGTTCAAGCCTCAGTCCACATGATAGAGGCAAATCTACTGACCGGGCCCTAGTGTTTCCTTCGGAGTCTGTTGCCACCGCCTTTTGCGTTCGTCCACACCAGAACCCAAGGTCTTCGTATCCGTTTCGGGTCCCGGACCAAAGAGAATGGACGAGTAAAACTGGATGGTCATTAGTTTCGGGCAAGCCATAATGGAAGCTTCCCAAATTGTGAATTTTGGTGTGTGACAGATTTCACCCTTGATACTCTGTTACTAGTTTGTTTCTGTGTAGTTAGTTAAAGGGTGTTAGACTGTAATTTAGTAGTTTTAGAACTAGTCAAAGAAAAATTTATTTTGAATTATTTAGAGCAGGTCGCTTGGCAAAGAGCCAGCATTGGCATTTAGAGTTTCTTCCCAACTTCATCCCCAGTCCCTTTAGGTTTTTAAAAATGTTGAACCTTTTCTGTTGATTTGTGAAGAAAACTGAATGTCCACAAGGAAAAAAAGTTATGTACCTCCCTTTGGTCAGATTATCCAATGCATAAGTTTTGATAGAAAAAAATCTCAATTGATTTGACATGATCACATTGTTAAGGAAGTAAAATTATTTGATCTGAAGTTGCCAATCACATTTCACACTTGCTACATTGCAGTTTTATTAACCTCAGGCTAAACAGATTTTTACATGTTTTCTTTTTATTAATCGTTTATACATGAGCTGTCCATTTAAAGGCTAAGTTTTTCTCAACAAATAAGTACAAGCATAAACATTTACACAGAAAACAACTAGAAATGAAATTAAAAAGACATGCCAACATAACAGAGAATGAGATGTCATCACAGATGAGAAACACATGAGAGCTGGCTAACTTTTCCTGACTTGTTTATCAATGAAGTGGACTGTGTAATTTCATGATTGTTTAATTTATAAGCACAGACCACAATAAATTAACCACTGGTCACATTTCCAGGTTCACACTGACTCTGCAAATCCACAGTGTACATATATATAGCGTTGTTGCCCACAACTGTTGTAGTCAGGGCTCACACAAAATCTTTTTTCCTTTTTTACCTAAAACAGATAATAAGAAATTTAAAACATTTCTTCTAGGTTCTTTGTCTGGTTTCCAAAATACATTGTTTCTTTCTCCAAAAGTGTGAACTATTCTTGGAACTGAAAATGGAACATGGAATTTAAATGGTCAGTGGGGCGGTGGCCTCATCTCTTCTCCCAGGAGGCCCTGTGGTAGCTGTATCACTGAGGAGTGAGTCCCAGGCTCTTTGTTTTTCAGCCTTCAGCTATAACTAATACATTTTTTTTTTAATTTGGGATATTGCAGCAAAAACCCATTATTGGTTTCTCTGAATATTGAAACTCATCGGTTTTACTGATTCCTTGCAATACCAAGCCTTTGATGAAATAAGATGGCAGTCATTTTAGCACATAACTCATCACTGTTATTTAGTAGATGATGCCTTCATTCAGGAATTAATTAGGGGATACTTTCTATGTAGGTAGACCCAGGGATAGTTATCAAGTATGTCCAACATTAAATGGTTGTTCCCAATAGTATTTATGTTTTCTTGTCAAAAAAACAATCAGATAAATGTTAAAAAAGAAACACAACTACTGCTGAGTGCCTACTATGTACCATGTTATACATATATTGCCTAATTTGATCTTCATAGCATCTTTTTTGAAATAGAAGTATTGTTCTCCAGAAAACAATGAAACTGTACCTGGGATAAAACCTACAGGGAAGTTGAATACAAGTCTGTGAAACTCTAAAGCCTGTAATGTTCTCTTCATTAGGACTCTGGTGAAATTGAAAACCACTCTATCTGTGGAGATGCCTATATATTGTTCCTTTATTTAGTAGAGAGGTAAGAACAAAGATGACAAAGTTTGAGTGAGGTTATTTCTCTCAAAGCTATAGGAGTTCCTGGAAATAAGAGCTCACTGGGCAGCACAGTTTTTTTTATTTAAGGAAATAAAAATAAAAGTCAGTTCCATTTGAGCGAGTTTGTAGGGAGGTGTGTACTCAACAAATGGCTTAATAATTTCAGTATTTAAATTTAAGCTGTTCCTCATAGCCACATGTACTTTTCATGTATTCATATATGTGGCACATTCCCTTCACATACTCCCCACCAGTGTCTTTGAATGCCCTAGTTTGTATCATTTTAGGTCAGTGCACCATGCCTCTGCCAGTAGGTGAGTTTAAGCTCATTTTGAGGCAGATAAAATGTCTGTAGGTAATAACAACTATTCATGATTTGCCTGTAAGAAAAGTTTGTTTAAATGTTTTGTAACTGGGCCTACCTTGGTGGCGCAGTGGTTGAGCGCTGGGCTGCTAGGCTGCCCGCAGCCTCTGCAGCGCTGGTTTGTTCCCTGGCTGCCGGCAAGGGTCCCACAAAAAAATAAATAAATAAATAAATAAATAAATAAATAAATGTTTTGTAACTGAGTCAAACCACTTCTGTCCACAAGAGCACAAATAACTTGTGTCCATGCATTCTGGTAACACACAAGATGCAATTAACTGACATTATTGTACCTTAAATTGCCTTTCTTTGCAATGTCTCTGGAGTACCCATCCCGCATAGACCATGTGTCTCATTACCATTCTTGGGGCACATTATGGGTGCTTAATGATAATTGAATAAATGGCTGTTTTGACCAGAAACATACTTTAGAAATGCACCTCCTTACATTTATACTGCAAAACTCAGTCCCCAAATAACTTCTAATGACTTCCCCCCTTCAATTGCCATTAAAATATGGATGTACAACATATAGAAAGAAGCAAAGAATAAACTATTTCTACTCTCTTGTATCCAGACTCTTGTGTCAGCTTACTTTGTACCTTACAGTCAGAACCCTCGTATCTATTAATATCCTCTTCCCTATTTAGCAAACCCTGATAATCCTATGATCCCCTGTCCTCAGTAGTTGGGTTAATATGATGCTTTATTGTATTTGCATTTATCTTGCCTAGATCATACATGAGATGCCATTTATTATCTTGCTGAAGAAAATATTAGCCAAACTTTCCTTTCTCTGTAATTTCACTTAAAGTTGAAGCATATGAAGTTATTGTTTCCCAATGAGAATTATGGGGAATTTATGATTTCTTTCTTACCTGTGCTTTGCTTCTCTCCTTTTAAGATGAATGTAAATTATATTTTCCTCTTAATTATTCAATATCAAATATGACAAGTGTGTAAAGTCAGCCTGTAGAAAGCAATATTTCTTAATGATTTTTGAAAAAGAGGCACTTGAAAAGCCTAAAACATTCATTTTGAATCTCAAAAATATTTTATAGAAAATGTATCTTCTTTCATGATTTCTAACTAGTAAATAATGCATAAGATCTATACTTGTACTGTCATTTAATGTACTGATGTGAAAAATTCCAGTTGTTGGAATTTTATTGGGAGATGTAATGAGGACATCTAATCAGGAACTCAGGATGAGTAGTACAATGTGTTTACCCTGTTCTTTGCCTTTTTATATCACCAGTTCCCTGAGGATTTTAGAATTCTAATTTTAACTATTCTGAAAGGTGGTATTATAAATGCAATGTAGGTAATGGAAGCCAGGGAGAATTCCATAGACTTAAAACATAAATACAGTTTTCAAAAACAGTGGTGTCAAAGTATTCAAGCCAGATAAGATAAAAACCAAGAGAGAAAGGAGATCATACCTTATTCAATAACAAAAATGAAAACCTGCCTATCTTTTGTTTATTGCTTGAAATCTATTCAGTCTCTCTTCCCC